ATATATATATATTACCAAATTTGGCACGTAATGAGGGGATATTTTGTAAGTAGATCAGTTGAGGTTCTACTTCTATCTCGTCTACCTCGTTAACTTTTCGTCTGATTGGATTTTGCTTTGCAGCTCTGCATTTCTCATAAAGTGTTCTACTTGTATTCAGAATTTTAGAAAGCAGCGGTGAAATTTATATTTTTTCAAATTTGGCACGTAAGGGGGGTATTTTGTACTTTGAACAGTTAAGGTTCCTTTTGTTTCTCGTCTATCTCGTAAAATATTCGTCTGATTTGTTTTTACTTTGCACCTCTGAATTTCTCTTTAGGTGTTCTACTTAAATGCGGAATTTTAGATAGCAGCGGTGAAAGTAATATTTTTCCAAATTTGGCTTTTAAAGAATGTGTATTTTGTAACTTGAACAGTTGAGGTTCCTTTTTGTTTCTCGTCTATTTCGTAAATTATTCGTCTGATTGGTTTTGCTTTGCACCTCTGAATTTCTGTTAAAGTGTTTAACTTGTATACAGAATTTCAAGTAGTAGCGGTGAAATTATTATATTTTCAAATTTGGCACCTAATGGGCGGTGTTTTGTAACTTGATCCGTTGAGGTTCTACTTCTTTCTCGTCTACCTCGTAAACTATTCGTCTGATTGGATATGGCTTTGCACATCTGAATTTCTCTTAAAGTGTTCTACTTGTATGCAGAATTTCAGATAGCAGCACTGAAATTAATATTTTTCAATTTTCGCGCGTAAAATGTAGTATTTTATTTCTTGATGTATTGAGGTTCCTTGTCGGTTTGGCCTATGTTGTAAACTATTCGTCATATAGGAGTTTTTGGCACCTATGTATTGCTCTTAATGTAATCTACATGTATACAGAATTTCAGATAGCTTTGCTAAAATAATATTTTTCGGAATTTGGCTCGTAATGGGGGGAGGGATATTATGTAATTGATCATTCGAGACTATTATGTGTCACGTCTATCTCGGAAACTTTTTCTGTTAAACAGTAGCAACAAGAAAGCAATTTGGATATGAAAAATCGAATTGTTATTTCATAACAGTTAACTAGGATTGTAGAGATTGGATAATGTTCACTCTGTGTTAAATATATTGATGTAGAACATGTGCAAGGTATTGCAATTATTCTGTATGTGACATCGTCGTGACACGTGCATGTGTGAACAAAATGCTCTTTCGCGGTGACCCTGGACGAGCTGACAAGTGAAAGGCGAGCGCTGACAATTCGCAGAATAAACAACGCCACGTGATCTATAGCTGGGGGGGGGGAGGAGGAAGGATTTCGAAGGGCTGACAAATAACTTTATCGTCTATTTCGGCGCTCTACACACAAATTGCATCACTGATTGAAGCAACTATAGAAAATATTTAAGGGAGAGCAAATTTTATGTAAACAACCACAGGATTTGAAATCACTGCCTTTGTCATTATATAACATAAGTTGCAGAATTTCATCAAATTCAATTTTTAAATTGATTTCCAGTTTCACGTTCTGTTGGCATTATGTTAATACTGTTTCTCTTTTTCTATATTAAATTACTACTCTATTTCTTACTTACAATGTGTGAATTTTATATAATACTTTCCTTTTTCATTTTGTGTTATTAATGACTTCACTGTAGGTAGTTTGTAAATCAGTGTTTAAACACTAGACACTCCATTCGTACACTGAAGTAAATTTTGATCTAAAGTATGTAATAAAGATTAATCTTATCAACCTCATAATAATAATAATAATAATAATAGTAATAATAATTATTATTATTATTAATATTATTATTATTATTATTAATATTATTATTATTATTATTTTTATTTTTATTTTTATTATTATTATTATTATTAATATTATTATTATTAATATTATTATAATTCAAAATGAAAGGAAACACTTTTTCGAATACTACATTTATAATAAAAAAATTAATTTTTCCATTAACTTATAATCGTTTTGAAAAATATTAATAATATTTTTAAAGAATAAGTTTTAAAATTTTCGAAAGGGAGAGGCATCACCTCACACTCCCTCTTGGAACTGTGCTTGCATGTCTAGAGTATCTTTATTGACCGAAGGGTAGTGACCGACTTCTCTTATCGGCACATTTTCATAGTTTCTTCTATTAATATCTATTGCTGGAGCTGTACCCTAACAAATGGGCCTGGACCGCGCGTTACCATTCCTTTCTATTCCTTGTCCTATCCTCACCCTTTAATTAAACGCCCTTACGCTTTTACGCACTGCACTATCACGCATGCCGAGAGACCGGTCGGGAGCTTAGAGATTGTCCCGGTTGGTGCGATGCCCCGCTGACAAGAGATTGCTGATTGCAGAAAATCCCGCTAGCCGGCGTGTAGGTTGGCGCTGGATCTCGGGAGATCACCGCCTGAAAGGAATGTGACAAGTCCGCAAGCCGGCGACACATCACAGGTGTCAGAGGGGGAGGAACACCGCCACCTCTCGGAATATAATATGCACTACACTTACGGCACTAATGGCCAGAGCAGTTCACGCTCCCGGAAACACAAAATAATCAATCATATAAGGGAGTTACAGATGCTTCAGACAGATTACAAGTTGGAGTACGATTTGTAGAAGGAAGATTACAATCAAAAACCATTTTGCTGAATATTTGTTTCAGCACTTTGGCCTTGACACAGACATTGTAATGTTTTCTCTTGTTTGAGTGCATCACGGAAAGATAAATACTGACGAGTGCCTGTCAGACAGCCGTGAAAATGTCGCACCAAGGGTTTTTCCCGTCACAGAAATTCTTCCGTGGGCAACTTCCTCTACTTTTCCCTCTTGCTTCAATTGTGCAGGTGCTTGGGCTTCTTCGGCTCTACATTTTACTTCTCATTTCTCCGTGTTCTTTCCTTTTCCGTGCCGAGAGAGGTGGCTCAGGGCATCAACTGATTTCCATGCACTCCCTCTAACCGGGAGGTCCTAGGTTCTAGTCCCGACGGTGGTAGGGTTTTCTACAAGAGCTTGTCAGCAAGGTTGAATTCATCCACTGTCTGGGGGAGAATTCTAGAGGCCGGGTGCTCTGATCTGTAGTTTTTCGTGGTTTCTCCGATCAACACCAGGCGAATGCCGGAGAAGTACCCAAACAAACGGGCCACGAACCATGCGCAATCTTTCCGACATCTTCCTTGTCCTATCATATGACACTAACATGCACTACACTACCACACATGCCGAAAGACCGGTCGAGAACCCTTGAGCCACATGCGGTGCCCAACTGGTGCGAAATACCTGGTTAGAGATAACCCCGCTGGCCGACGGTATATTGGTGCCGGATCTCGCCATACAGCGGGGAGAGACGACCGCTACCTACCGAGCAAAAACATTCACATTAATTAAGCAAATTTTTTCACATTAACAGACACCAATGTATTGCAATTATTTGCAAAATAAGTAAAGTATTAAGTGACGAGAAACGCCTTTTTTTCTTTGTCCCCTCCACAGTAACCCTGTGGAGAAGGGGAATTTATTATCTATAAAAGTTTTTACATTATGCTGCTGCCTTGCGGCTTAAGCAACTAGAGGCGGGGCTTTTTCTTACAACTAATTTACAATCTAGACCTAAAGTTATCTCACTTGCACTTTGGCATTACTAACTTACACTAAAATCATTTTTGTAATATTATTTTATATATTCTACGTAAATTGTTTTTGTATATATTGGTAAATTATTATTATTATTATTATTATTGATTAGATTATGATAGATTATTAATTGATATTGTTTCAACAGTATTGACAAGAATACATGAAAGTCAATAGATCTAGTTTCAGCTAATAACTAAGAACATAACCATAATCATTCTTACCACCATTCATTCGCACTTCTCTACCCTGCCCAAGGATAAAGACAGGAAGCCCCAGGAGGGTAGAAGAGAGAAGGAGAAAAGAAACGTCACTGTTAACCGAAACACAAGCAACTTACAGACTTGGTCATAAATTGTCCCGTGCGCTGGGCCCAATTGGAAGGCGTGGCAGGTGGGCGACGGTCGGTCGCGTGTCCCAGCGCGACGTCCCTCGGCCGAATTGGCAGAGATACTTCGCCTCCGTCAGCGCATTGCGCCTCCTCGCTCGCTCGCACAAGGCAGCAAGCGTGTCGTGAGGCAGCGGCGCGAACGGAGAAGGCGACGCGCTTCGGACCTTATCCGGAGGAATGGGAAACGATGCGCCGCCAACTGTTTGCCTCACGAGACCGGTGAACGGCGCAGGATGCGCGGCGCGCGTTCGGACCCGCAGAGCCATATGTGAAGACGGACGTGCAACTGACGCGCACTTATGGAGACTCCGGCAAGAATTGTTTTTTTACACCCAGAACTCCGAACACATCGGTGTTTCTAGGGTATCTATTGGGAAGGGGAGGAGGGAGGTGGGGAACGCCGCGAGACGCGCAGCGCGGTTTACCGCCGTGCGAATCGGGCGGAGGGTGGAGGGGGGTGCCGCCGCCAATACCTCCCAGGCCTACGTCCAATGAGAAACGCCTTTGTTATAGAAATCGGCGTACGATGGAAGTGGTGATTGAAAGAGTAGAAATGTTGAAAAAGTTGTCGTAGAAGGTGTTATTTGTAATATTAAACATATGACACTACATTCGACAAACTCAAGAATTAATACCCGTGCATTGAGAAATTGTGTTGATAACTATCGAAAATGTTTTGTATATTACCTGTGTAATAAAAAGAAAGAACATTGTGAAATCTGATTTGCTTAGATAATGATGGTGATTTAGTATAATTAAAATGGGTACTTAAAGAAGGAGTAGTGGACCTACAATTTGTTTCTCGTACCGTGATTTTTTATTTCCTAGAACTACTTTGTGCGTCATTTCGGATGTTTGGTGAAATCTATTTTAGTACTCGGGACATATTATAGTATATTCTCCAATGATGACATTAAGTTATATTTTTTATTGTGTACATTTTACAGAATAAACATATTTTTTAAATAAGTCCATACTATCATGTAATATTCTTCTAGACCACTAGTTTAGTTCCACAAGTAGGATGACCTTGAGTTTCCCACTTTCTAAAACCTTCGGGGCTTAATTAGGGAGAAGAGAGACGAATTGAGGAGTGTAGTTTTAAAAAGAACAAGGTCTTATTTCAAATTTTAATTTTTGTTCTTTATTTTAGAGACGAATATGGATAAATGACTGCCCGGATACTGTTTCGGATTGCCAATATGTTTCTTTCAGATTTTTACGTAGTTCGTTTGTGTTACCGAAAAGAAAGATTTCAAAGAAACCATGTATTTTTAATCCATGTGCTTAACCTCTGAGATGACTATCAACAAAATCTATGTAATACAAGACTTTCTACAGCGTGATGTTTGTGTTGGTGTGAAAAAGAAAGTTTTCTTGCTGGACTGTAAATATTTGTTAGATAATTCAGAACTGCGAACACCTTCCAAGAAAATACGGGGTGCAACATCCGGTTTATGGCGCTAAGTAAGCAAAACGGCACTTCAACCGTTCCTGAAAATGACACCTCTTCCCTTTTATGTTTCCATAAAAGATCTGAAATTTTCAAAGCGGCTTAGGACAGGTGGAGGGTTTAATAAACGGAATATTCCTGTTTCGAAAATCGCACTTGAACGGCCCTCTTTCGGGGTAGCGTTTCCGCCCTTTTGGAGACCAAGGAAGGTGGTGGGGGGGGGGAGGGGGAGCGTGAATGCGGAATTCGGCTCCCACTCCACTTCCGCCCGGGGGACAAATCGGCTTTGCGTCAGCCACCCAACCCCCAGACGGCTGCCAGCCCGCGTGCCGCCTGCACCTCGCCGAACAGCACATTAGTCCGGGGAGAGTTACATCACGGCCAAATTTTTTTCAATGCTTTTACTTTCCCGCTGATCAGGCCGGCCGATGTCGTGGATATGAAACCGATATTTGCATTTTGGGAAACACTTTACACCAAGCGTCAGCTATTTTGAAATTTTTCTGATAAATACCTCCCAATTTTTTAGTTATTTCCTCCAAGGGAGGATTGGATGGAGCTTAAAGAAGTGGCGCAGATTGCATTGCCGTTAATCTCTGAATTTTTTAAAATTGCAAAAGTGCGCCCGCTTCCGTCATAAAATTTGTATTTCAAAGATCTTTAAATATGGTGCAATTTCTCCTAAATATGAGCATTTTTTCCAAATTCTGAGTGAAATATAGACGACTTTTAAAAAATTACTCCAAATTCTCTTTGATATTTTTTTCCACGGATAGAGATGTTTAAAAATGACGCAATTCTCAGTTTCATTGCACTCTCTGAACTTCTGAAAATTAGAACTAATGCGAGAAACTATATGCGTGTTGTAAATTGTAGCCCCACTAGTTATGAATTAATGACGTGAATCACTTAGTCAAATATTATATCAGTTTTTAATATTTTTATTTATATTGTTAGCATATTAATACACAAGTTTATCTCCTCATAGCTTGCTATAAAATTACAGGTGGTCTTATCATTGAGGGAGTAAGTACTTTATTATATTTTCTGTGAAAATATCACATTCCTAGCAATATATTTTATCACGAGCACTACCCATCCGCTTCCCTGGATGAATGAATTGAAAAAATCTAAGCATTTAAAAATGGCAGGTATTGAATACAGACTTTCCTAAATAAAATCTTCATGAATATTTTGTTCCATGCTGAAAATATTTCAATATTTTCTCATCCATAACTCAAATATAATTGTAAAATGAAATAAGACATCTACAAGGAGTTAGTAGTTAAAATTAGTTTATAATACAGGCACGTTGAAGCAAAATCGTTATCTACGGCCCTGCTTTATCAGCACTAATTAAATACTACATGAATAAAAATATTCCAATTGAGAAAACATGAGTTTCGATGAAATTAGTTTCGTTTTCTGAAGAAAATAACAAGAGCAACATTTGATTTTATCTTAGAAATTCAAAAAATAAAATAAACAATATAGTTTTTGAACATACGATTACAGGAAAGAGGCAAGTAATTATTGTCCACTGAACCCGTAATTATTGTAACACAAGCAGGTTGAAACTGGAATTGAGGTCCAATGTGTTTTTGTACAATAGAGTTGCAGAGCTTCACTTCACGTTTTTAATGTAAGTGAACGAATTATATGGGAGGATCAATTATTGAATTCCTGCTGTGAGTTCCTGATTGTCATTTACAAAAGGGGTCTATAGTATTTAATGCTTTCGGCCAATTTGTTTATTTTGTATATTTTATTCTCAATCAAATGCTTCTAGGCCATCAATTGCTCTGACAATTCTTAACAGAATTATCCCATTATACTCAATTATTGCAACTTAATGCGTGACAGTACCTAGTTTACACTTGTTGCATACGCTATTTTTTTCTATAACAGCATCATAATGATTAAAGGTAGGGAAGTTAGCTTTTATGTAAAGTTGTAATCTCGGACACGTCATATATTAGTTAACAATGAGTTTGTTTACAAATGATAATTATTGTTCGATTTAATATAGTGTTTTTCAAGATCGGTTAAAACTTCGTTAACAAAGAAAACTTCAAATTGTACGATTTTGAGATTTTATTTATAAATATTTAAGTGAATCGGTCTATCAAGAAAAGTCTGTGGCCAAACTGTCCGATGTGAATAAATTATGGCAGGAACTTTCATATTTTATGTATAATAATTAGAATTACAACATTAACTAAGTTTTATTTGAAATAATTATACGCGTCGTCATTGCCAACAATATTATTTATTAAAATAGCAGCTTTCAATGCTTAGCCATCATCAGTTTTCTAGTACAAGAAAAAAAACCATTAAAACGAGAATATTTTTTTATTTGACAACAAAATTATATTAAAAGATTACTAATAATTTACAATTTTTAGAAAATATATGTAACATTTTAAGAACTGAAAGAAAGAAAAGGAGGGGGTGTTAAGTCATTTAAAACTACAAGAAAAGTGAATGAAATTTAATTAGAACATGTAAATCAGAAAAAGATGGAAATGTAAGTTGAGCCATTCCTTACATGCTGTATGGAAGCCACAAGAACGACTACGCGGGGTGAGCCAAGGGACTTAATTGATTGTTGGCAATGACGACTCGTATAATTATTTCATTGGAAATGCCAACGAAAACTCACTACAATACCAATATAAGTTTTATTTATTAACTGCTAGATTATGATAATGCACGGTACGATTTTTAGGCGTTTGCTATTTTTGGCATATTTGATGCTTGCAGACTAGTCGACTTGTTCTACAATTTGCGCACCAATGAAACGAAGGTGAAGGATTTGTTTCAATATCAAACATTAAAACCAAAACAGACAAGCCCACAATTTTTAATATATTATCTACT